ATAGAGATATATATATATATATATATATATATATATATATATATATATATATATATATATATATATATATGTTCTCTAGAGGGATCATACATACATGATACAACTAGAACATTGCATACATGACATGATTGATATAATTATTTATGGGAGGAATCAAACAACTAGATTATCTCATTGACTGCGGACCATTATTATAATGGGTACAATTTAAGAGCCCGTTTGCACATAAGAATTTTTTCATTTTTTTTTTCGAATTTTTTTTATTTTTTTTCAAAATTAGTGTTTGGCCATAAATTTTCAATTTTCACATGAAGATGAATTTTTTAATTTTTCAAATATTTGGAAAACTCCAAAAAGTTGTTTTTCAAAATTTTCACTTAGATCACTCACAAAATTACAAAAACAGCCTAAAATTATATTCATGTTCAAACACAATTCTAATTTTCAAATATCATTTTCACTTTATTTTTTTATACTTCTTATGTCCAAACGCCCACTAAGTACTCTTTTATTAATCAGTTTTGCTTTCTAATGCATACCCTTCACAAACAATTTACATAAGAGAAAAAGAAAAGACTACCCAAAAGAAAAACACATTCCCTTTTCCATTAAATTTGCAAGATTTTCTTTTTTATGGTGATATTAGAGTCAAATTATGTACTAAGTACTTGTCCAACAAGATGTCAAATGGGTTTATGTCTCTACTGAAATTTGAACCTTTATTTTTTACTAAGATTTGTACCCACTTTAATGACTTACACTTCTAGGTCGTCGCATTCTTTGAACCTTTGACATGATATACAAATTAAGGAGCTTTGCTTTTGTATTTAGGAGAAAATTAATTAATTGAAAAAATAAAATTAGAAGCACTCATGGCAATTAGAATAGGAAATTCCATCATATTTTATCTCGATATACTATCAGCAAGGTGCCAAGTAGGGGTGTTCAAATCGAACCGAAAAACCGCACCAAACCGAAAAATCAAACCAAACCGATTAAAAAGCCCAACTAGGTTTGGTTTGACTTGATTTGGTATTGATTAAAAAAAACCCAACCAAACCGACATATATATAAATTTTATTTATATTTTTAAGACTTTATAGTGATTTTTCTTTAAAAAATATAGAAATATTTGGGATCCTCTCATGTATTAACCTTGAAAGCATAAATTAACGAAAAATTATTGTTAGACGACTAAGAAAATAACTATCATGTGTTACTAAAAAAATTCTCCCATTAGAATATTTTAATAGATCATATGTTTGTCGATTTTTTCCATATTTACTAAACATATATTCACTTATCAAAGCTTTATCTATAATTATAATAAAGTGAGATTGAAATAATATACATGTAACAAAAAAATTCGAAAACTCGGAAAACCCGACAAAATCGAACCAATCCAAATTGATATAATTAATTTGATTTGGTTTTGATAAAAAGCGAACCAACCCGGTCCATGTAGTGTATTTTTTTATCGCTGCTGAAATTTGTTTTCAAGGTTTTCACCCCACATTAGTGACTTACACTGCTAGGCCGTCACGCTTTTCGAGCTTTTGACATGATATACAAATTAAGAAGATTTGCTTTTGCATTTAATTAGGAGAAAATTAAATTAGAAGCACTCATGGCAATTAGATTAGGAAATTCCACCATATTTTGTCTCGATATACTTGGGACGTCATACTTTTTTCTTGATTATATCTACCTTCATTTTCTTGGATTAGACATGGGCAAAGTATATTCCAATAGACATAGGTCCTCACATATTGACAACAAGATGCTACCTCACAATTACCTTTCTTTCTTTGCTGACTCTGGACCATCTCGTTATCATCAAAGGGGAATCATTATCTCCAAACCATAATCTTTTATTTTTCTTTTTTTAATTATCGTTTAATTAATTGCATTTCCTTTCAAGGGAAACATAACAAAACTACTTTAAAAAGATTTCATTTCACTACTACTTATTTTAGCAACGCATAATGCGGAGGATCCAAATGCATGTATTTAGAATCATGGTTACACATCATCTACGAAATCGATAGAGATGCTTATTGCGTACAAGTGTGAACATACATACATATATTTATTTATTTATCTTTCTACATGACGTAAGTTTAACGAAATGCCTAATTTTTATATTTCTTTTCAACAGAAATTTAACTTTCAAGTATTTCCACATTCCAAAAATACGTTGTAGCATACGTATGAATAGGTATTGTCAAGTTACCAAAATAAAGTATTATACATCCTTACTTGCTCGATTAAAATAGTCCATCTACCTCTTTTTCAAAACCATTCATAACAACGACTTAGAGGTTAACAAATCTTATCTCTAGGGTAAAAAATGGAAGTTCATGAACTAAATTTCTTTTATCAGCAAAAACAAAAAAGGAATTATTTTTGAAGCTTATTTGCTGGAAAGGGATGGTCAGTATGAATTTGGGTACCCGTTTGAATTTATGTCTTCAATTAATATGTTGAATTTTTTTTGAGTCACAGTTTAGTAGAGATTAACATAAGAAGATGGCCCACTTGAAATGATAATACAATGTCATCTTTCTCAACCGATTTTTAGTGATTTTGAGTGAATGCACTATCTTGATAGATATATATGGCATATACTTCCAAAAAAGGAGGTCTATGACAATTTATAATTACTAAGCTTATGAACAAAGATTAAGCAAATCATAATTGCGAGAAAACTGATTGATTGGACCCCTAAAACAGTTATTGTATACCCTTGGCATTGTAATAAATGCCACTCCCTTTGACAACAAAAGAAATGGTTGTATTCATAAGCATAAGGTCAACACATCTAATTTTCAGTTTAAATTCGAATATTGATTTCCTAATTTTTAAAAGTTACATGAACGTTTCATAAATTATAAATTTTTAATTATTATTTACGTATTTTTCAAATAATAGTAGTGTCTTTTTTTCATTTTCTGAAAATATGAGGTATTTGCTTTGGTGCAATGTCGTCGCTTCAAAAGACGCCAGTTTTACTCCCCAGAATTCATAACGTAGGAAATAGTTTTTTGGATCAGTTGGGGCAGTTTCAATTTTCAGAAATCTGGTTTCTTGTTTCCTGGAATTTAGCTTATTCGGCCTCATTGATTCTGTTTTCTGCCTTTTGATTTTCATGATTACAAAGGCCTCCCATTTGAGAATAGAGTTTTTTCGTTTATCAGTGTTGAAGACAAACAAATGTCTTACTACTTCACAGAAAAACTCCAGTTAGGAAAAAAATTCATAACTATAAACTTCATTTTTTCACCAACATTAATTTATGGCATTTAATGGCAACATGGAAGATTCGGCGTTGGGAAGAAACTTCAATGATATTAGAGGCTGTTGTAATCATAAAGACATTAATTGATGGAAACATGGAAAATGTAACAATAAATAGTCACTGTTTACACCAAATTAACAAACGCATTTTATTTACTTTTTTTCATATAATTTTATCACTCAATCATGGTTAATTAACACACTCCTACCTCAACTGACTACTTTACCTTAGCATGTTAATAACATTTGATGAAAACACCAAGTTCGGTAGATCTTTTCCAGAAGTAATATTGGACATTCAGGTATTTGATCTGAAGTGCGAGAAGAAGGTCCAGATCGTTATACAAACTCGAGTGATGGTCAATTCTACTACTCCTTCAGTTAATATGCCGTAGTTTCTAAAAATAGTTATCTCAAATTATTTGTCATTTTGGAAGTTCAATAGTAAATTAATTATTTTTTTCCTACTCTTCCCTTAATATTAATTGTTCTTGAAGACTACAAACACCTTAATTATGACAACAACAACAACAATAACGTCCCAGTGAAATCCCACTAGTGGAATCTGGAGAGAGTAGTGTGTACGCAAACCTTACCACTACCCCGAAGGAGTAGAAAGGCTGTTTCCGAAAGACCCTCGGCTCGAGAGGACAAAAAGACAAAATCATTAACACCACAGAAATAATAAGAAAAATAGGAAAAATAGGAACATGAAATCCAAAAGAAAGATACACAGCAAAAGCAAAATAGTATCCCTACCAAACTAATCCCACAAAGTTATGACATAAGACAAGACTCAACTAGTTTAAGACATAAATAAGGGTAAAATAGTAAAAAAAACGTTTCCTATTTATTATTTTCTTAAGGGACGTGTAATAAAGAAACACGACATATAATATGAAACAGAGGGAGTGCTTTATTTATGAGAAATTCTAGACAGGTTGATTATAGAGCTAAGGTAGGAACAAATCGAAGATTTTACATGTTGGCATCAGGCATGGACGAATCACAGCTGGGCTAGTATTGATGAAAAGAAAATAAAGATAGTCCTACCCCAAGGTGCTCTCTTTACATGGTAAATGGCTAAATGCCTAAATGTTAATGCAAGAGAAGAACAAATGAAGCATCAGGGCTTGAAACACCAGGCTCCATTTATTAATACTTTATGATCCTTCAAGACAGTCAATATAATGCTATAAGCTACTATAAGTTCTTATTATGTTATAAGCTACAGTTCTAATTTGCAAGTTCCTGCTGAAACTTCAGCATGAGCATCAGAGTTCAATTGCACTTTTTACATTTCAAACTACAAAAGAATTTGTGTACTTACACAGAGAAAGGGGCGCTATGTGCAGTATGCATGTATCATAAACAAGTATCTCAGAGGATGTTTTCTGAGAGTACGGTACAGCAAGTATCTGCAGCTTTATCACCTCAAAACTATACATTACCCCATTAATGGTCCTCTCAATGAAGACTCTGCTGCGTGTTAAGGTTGTTTATACTTCCTCACATCTTTATCCTGCATCTGCTCTTACATTCATTTACTCCTACAGCACACATCAAATTCAGGTACCATGTCAACACAATTTCACCATACATCTACAGCTCAGGCATCTCATGAGCAAGTTAGTTTACATACCTGAGGTGGACCTATTGAGGGAGGTTGCATTTCTGCTTCCACTGATGCCTCGGAGACTCTAGCTTCTGATTTCTCATTTGAATAACTAATAAACCAAACAAAAAAAAAATGAAGTTAGAATATGATGCATTTCTCTGGTAACATCTGCATTTGTTCTGTTATCAAAGTTTGAAATACTTCATGGAACTAAAGGCAGGTCCTGCTTATTGGACAGTCAAAACACAATCCAAGTAGTAATAGCATAGAGATTAAACATTCAATAGGAAATCTGATTCACCTAGCTGTCAGCCAGGGTGCACAATTTCCCTGTATGAAAATACTAAAGCGGAGTGATTAATTGGACGTAACCTAAGAGCTACCTGCCCCCAAAATGGTCATGGACAACCTCCTTCGTTGAAAAAAAGGGAAACCTTTGGGAGTTAGCATACATATTACTAAAAGACTACAATCGGACCACCATCAATTTCCTTAACCAATGATGTTTTGAGAAAGATAAGCTTCAATGATAAACCATTTTGGCAACATTAGCTACCTCGAAAAGTATAGTATTTAATCATTCATGTCAGCATGCTTATAGTGCTTCCGAAATTCAGTCCCTGAACATCATGCACCAGAAAAGTAAAAAAAGTTGTGATTCACATTTTGGAATGCTTACGTTGAGAGTATTGTCACCCAAATAAGTTCTACACAGTCGACCCAAAGAAGCCTTTGTTCAACCGGGACTACACCATATGTAATAAGATGAGCAAATGGCCACAGCTTCCAACCTGCCTGAAAAATGAGCCACATAAAGGGAATCTGTGTTAAGACATGCATGTTTTGCTTACTAATTCACACTGATCCTCAAACTTCATGTTGCATGATAGAAGCATACACGCAAGAAACAGCAAAAACAGTGATATAAACTGCAGGATACCATCATGAATTGACTCGTGTGATTTGCATACCAAATATCAACTTATCAACAGAACATAGGTTTAATTTGGACAAGCAAACCACTATCGAGATTCAATGAACACCCTGACTTATGTAAGAGTTATGGACCAGATGAGAGGGAAAATGCCACAAGAATGAAGAGAAATGAAGCTGTGCAGCACAGTTGCAACTATGGTCAAGGTAAACCACACAGATATATTCATAGATATGAAAACCAAGAAACAATAATGTCTTACATAGTAATAAGGACCACCGCTTGATGCAAAAATAAGTTTATTTATGTAAAAGTGATGCTGTAATTTAAGCAAGAAGTAAGAACAGAAGGTCTCTTCTTACAGTCAACATTGGCCAGAATGTAGCCTTCAATTCACTGAAAATGGCGAGAGGGGATTCAAAGCGCAAAACTCCCAAAACTGTGTAGTAAATGCTGTTCCAAATTGCTGACCAAACAGTTTGATCAAAGGCAACCTTGACAGGAACCACCCACCAATCTTGGAAAGGAAAAAGTGCCTAATACGAATCAGAGTGTGTTGCTTAGTCCAAAAAAATTAGAACCTAAAATTGCGCAGGCATGAAAGTATTAAGCTTTTGAAAATAGCAGTACCTCACAGAACTGATAATAATAATGGGAGAGGGATCCATGTAGCGTGAATCCAACTAAGCCAGATCTCAACATACGTGCACGATCAAAGTCAAAAAGAGGCTTTCCTTCATAGCACTGCAATAAGTATAGGCAAGACTAATTAGCACGTTGGAGCAATTAACAATTCCAAGTAACGCCATGGCATTTACAGGAACTTTCTATTCAATCCCCACTAACCTGTGCGATCCAATCCCCAAGAGAGTAAACCACTCCACTGATGACCATTTTAGCCAAAACTGGGTTTCTTTTAAGGGCTTCCTCATATGCAATCCAGTTGTGCTGAGGTGCATATCTCAATATCTCATATACGGTCCATCCCTGAGAGAGAAGGATGATGAGCTATATTCTAAGAAAATATGTATTTGAGCATACATATTCGTACTACAAATTGCTGCAGAAATTATGAGAAGTAATTCCACAAGAAACAAACATTTCTCAACCTGGCAAACCCAAGTAAACGATTATACAACTATAACAAGAAAATGACACAAGGAGAAAAGTAAATGTGTGACTGTTAAGTATAAACATATCCGATTCCAGTACTTTACAACATCGACAGGGGAGTGCATCTTCTGTATTTTGCTTGCATCCTCTGGATGCTAATTCATAAGATCCTAACTTCATCAAAAGTACTTGAAAACAACAAAGTGTTAAGACCAAGAAAGTTATCATGATTCAAGAGGACAGAAGGCAGGCTCTTCCCAGATTACCCATACTTCAAGATAACGAGTTTCTAACAGAAAAAGAGCAACTAGGATGTAACAATTTTAATCCACATTTCTATTAATAGAATTAAATGAAATACCCAATCATGAAGCATGAGGAAAGAAGGCCGATACAAATTAGACTGCATAATTGATAACACTGCCAGATTCTCCAATTAGACAAAAAGCAGATAACAATAAACATCACATCCCACCCCTGTACACATGCACTTAACTGAGACATAATATCCATGACTAAGTATAAAAGAGTTGAACCACACAGTGCCGGCTCAAGCCTAAAGCAAGTCAAGCACTTGCTTTAGGCCCCCAATAATTTAAGGCCTCAAAATTAATACATTACTATATAACAAAATAAATTTTGTTCATCAATAGATGTAGTAATTCAATCATATATATCTTGTAATCAAAACTATTCGGGCTCGTTCATTTTTCCTCACATAAATCAAGTTTTTTAGTTCTCATGTCTTAATTGGAAGGCAGT